TGAGTTTGCTAACTTTATATATCTGGGCCAAGCAGTATTTATTTCTTGATACGTTAATGCCCTTAAATGTACCTGTATTGCTGAGATTTGGACAGCAGGCTTAAGTAGAATATATGGCTGTTCACCAACATTTTTCCTCAGATTCAATTTGGCATTACATGGTGTTTTCAGTTCCTTTATTGACTTGACATTTTTTCACTCTTGAATTGCACTGAGTGATATCATAGATGTTGTTGTACACTAAAGGGTATTAGGATAAAATGTTTTTTGTCATCCACATTGATTACGCACTTGAAAGTCAGATGTCATGTAGTTAAAATCAATTGTTGTTGAGTATTTCATGACTGGATCTATCATTAAAATATTTTGCATTTTGTCGTCATAATTTTTCACACCTTGCAAGGGAAAATGATTTGTATGAAATTTAAATTATTATTGCATATTAATGCATGAAAAATTGATCAAATTTCACTAGTGTTCATAAATGTTTCTTTTCATCCAAATTTTCAATGTCATTATGTTGATCGTTACCGTAAATCCAAGAATCTTTAATTAACTGACTAACGTGATCAAGTGGTCGACTTGGTTGACACATGTCATAGTATCCCAATTTCATAGATCAAAGCTCATGATGCATAGCCAGCTGACCCTTGGGGTATATACCTAAAATGAGGGCTTACACCACCCAGAACCCTGTTCTTTAAACCCATGTTAGATATAAGACTATCATGACGCCCATTTTGTAAAAGAATAACGCACCCAGAACCCTGTTCTTTAAACCCATGTTAGAGATAAGACTATCATAATGCATAATGCCCATTTTGTTAAAGAATAACTATCATGACGCCGCATTTTGTAAAAGAGATAAGACTATCCTTCAGAAAGAACTTATCTTTGTAAAAGCACCCAGAACCCTGTTCTTTAAACCCATGTTAGAGATAAGACTATCATGACTTCATTTGCCCATTTTGTAAAAGACTAACGCACCCAGAACCCTGTTCTTTAAACCCATGTTAGAGATAAGACTATCATGACGCCCATTTTGTAAAAGAATAACGCACCCAGAACCCTGTTCTTTAAACCCATGTTAGAGATAAGACTATCATGATGCCCATTTTGTAAAAGAATAACGCACCCAGAACCCTGTTCTTTAAACCCATGTTAGAGATAAGACTATCATGACGCCCATTTTGTAAAAGAATAACGCACCCAGAACCCTGTTCTTTAAACCCATGTTAGGAGTTAGTGGGGTCTTACAGATAGATTTATGATGCTCTTAGCATTAACCTAATCAACTTGTACCACCCAGGCCCTGTTCAGCGGACCCATGTTATTTCTAAGACTATCGTAACTGGGACGGTGGGGTAGTCTAGTGGTTAAAGTGTTCGTTCATCATGCCGAAGACTCGGGTTTGATTCCCCACTCAGGTACAATGTGTGAATCCCATTTCTGGTGTCCCCCCAGTGTGATATTGCTAAAAGAGGTGTAAAACTATACTTACTCACTCACTCACTCACCCACTCACCCACCCACTCACCCACTCACTCACCTACTCACTCGCTCACTCACTCACGCCGTTTGATATTTTGAGAACAATTATTTTCTTGGTTAATTCTTCAAAATACAACTTTTATGAAAAGAGAACATAATCAAACTTATGTTTGTTTTCAACACATTTTCAGAGTCTATTTTAGACTGCACCCTTGTGCCATTGGCGCATCATAAAAATAAAATGACTCGTAACAATCGTACATAAAATTCCCAATATTTTCAACTTGTTTTCACATTTTCTAGTGATCAATCGGCATTTGTAATCCTCTCAGCTCTATGCACGCTTTCCAACATCCAGTGCAGTGCCTAAATCAATTCATGAAGCTTATGCGTAGCTTATTCAAGTCATGCTATTTGTCTATACATTAAGAGTTACGCCCCTTAGCAGTAATTTTCTCTAACGAAGGGAGGTAACTGAATTTGAAGGTAGTTATCAAACCCAAATATCGGGAACAAAATCGTCTTCTGCTGTGAAGGCATCGAAGGGACAGTCGCGAATACTTTCGTTTTTCCACACAAAAAGATCAAAAAGTGACCGAGACGATTCGGGAACCGTTGCAGGGTCAAATGATGGCAATTGTAATTCAGAAATTGCAATGGAAACATTGAACGTCAATGACACGGCCAATCGCAGTGGATGTTGAAACTGAGAGCAAGGCATCCGCAGTCAAGTTCTTTCCAAACAAAATGGCTAATGGTTTTGTTCAGTGAAAGTCATAATAAGTCTACTAACTTAAAATTTAAACAGACTGTCCCTGAGATATGAAGTTACAAGATAATAACTTTTATGGAAATCTCATTAAATTAACAGTGTTTGAATTAACAGTTAATACAAATGAACAGCTGTAATTTGAATGATAAAATTATTAATGAATTGTCTCCCTTGTTTTTTCTGATGACCCACCTACAATGGCAAATGTTCCACAAGTTTCATTACCCATGGGCCCAGGGCCCACTTCGTGAAAAGTAAAATAGACACTGCATTTCCCTGATGCCCAGCATGTGCAATAAGCAATTTCTATTTTCTGTTAAAACCTTCCGACAAGTGTGTTTCCTCTGTTTTAATGGCTGTTCCATTACTATGGTGAGGTAGTTCTTGTAGAATGTTAATTTCTGTGCAACGCTCCCTGTGGCATTGTTGGCATGCTTGATATAATGCTGTAATTATGATTCAGAAAGACAGATAAATTAGTCTCAGCCTGAGTAATATCAGTTAATGCCTTTAATGTTCTCCTTAGCAACCAGTTATAGCATGTATTTGTATGGGCACAAACAGCAGGATAAATAACATGACATGTCTTGAAGCATAAAATAAATATCAGGGGCCGTTTGCAATAGATTTACAGTAGGGAGAATGATTTGAGACCTGGAGAGGTCGTTCATAAGGCCAGACAAATTTCCTGTCATGTTTTGATGGTTTCCTCGGAGAGATTGACTGGGATTTGGACACAAGAAAAGACAAATTGTAACTGGTTTAATTGGGATATAAACATATCGTGCTTTTACTTGATAGGTTTCAAATATACACTTTAACAGGAAGTTTTTGATCTATTTGGCTTTTGAATATGAACTGAGGCTTGAAAGCAATTGTGATGTTGAAAGAGGTGTTTTAATTTAAAGCTTTTGAAGATATATTTTGCGGCTTGGAATGGATATGCAAGAATCTCAAACTGAAAAATTTACAGGTTTCAAATTGAAGTAAAAACCTTTAAAATGATCACAAAGCTGGTTTATTGCCATTTTGACAGAGCGACAAAATTACCATGAATTCTTTTGTAAAAACAGAATGATGTGTCAGTGTTTGAGACTAAATGTAATCATTGGATGAATAGTTTATTTGTTGTTTACACTCAGCAATATGGCAGCAACTGACAGCCAGGGATAAATGGTCAACTTCAGAGATCAGTGAAGAGCAGTTTTATTAATTTATGCCTTCATATTATTTTGACTATTAATTTCCCTATATCCCTACTGTGAAAAATGTGTAAAAAATCTGCTGCTAGCACTTTTCTAATGGTTCTTTTCAAATGGTTCTTCCTAAAATGAAATAAAATAAAATAACCATTCTCATCATGTGTAGTTGTGAAGAACTCTCATCTATTATGATGTCATACTGTTCTTCATCCAAGGATGACCCAAATTCTGACTTCTGATGAGGGTAGTCATGATGTCACAGCATGTGACCGACCGAGTAACGCCAAATTTGTTGATGTGATTTTGAATTTTTTGATACACTCATTTATTTGTTAGTCTCTTGGTTTTCTTTATAGACTATGCTTCCACACCAGATACTAATATTCTAGGATTTAGATTTGTAAATATTAAGTAAACCTTTTCTGGTCAGGTAAATTAAGAAGATATAAGGCAACTTGATCAGGGATTATAGTGAAAATACAGTGTTTTTAGGTCCTATATAGACTAAGGCTTAGTCTCTGAATATATATAATTTGGATAGTAACAAACAAGCCCATTTATATTGAAAAGGAGCCCTAGGGAGACCAGAGATTCAGAACCTGAGGAAATCTAGACTTGCTTTATTTAGAGCACTGCAGAGAGGGCTAGGCAGTAGGGAAAATAATGTTGTTCAGGGACTGTGAGACAGACGTGTTTTTAGGTCCTATAGTACAGGTCTTGTTCACGATGAAAGTGTGTATGTGTGTAAAAAGCAAATTTGTGTCCAACATTGTGAAAATTCATGATTTTTTTATTTCTGAGGAATAGGTCACCAATCACACAATAATCCTACCCCACTTACTACACTACGGTTTTTATCACCATCGTCATCATCACCACCATCACCATCACCATCACCATCATCATCATCATCATCATCATCATCATCATCACTATCATCATCATCATCAACATCATCACTATCATCATCATTATCATCATGGGTGGTTGGGTAGCCTAGTCGTTATAGCGTTCGCTCATCATACCGAAGACCCGGGTTGGATTCCCCACATGGGCACAATGTGTGAAGCCCATTTCTGGAATCCCCTGCTGTGACATTGCTGGTGTATTGTTAAAAGTGGTGTAAAACCAAACTCACTCACTCATTATCACCACCATCACATCTACCTGAAGTACATGTCTTTCTCACGATGAAAGTGTGTATATGTGTGTAAAGGATATTTGTATCCATCATCATGAAAACCAAATACCCTGCCACACGAACACCATCACCAGCAGCAGCATCACCATCATCAACCTCATTCACACATCTGCATACATATTGATATGACACTGTACTTATGCTATCAACCACTCTTTTATATGGCCTGTAATTCATAATCCTCCAACCAATCAAAGCAATCTCATAAAACTGATAGGGTCAAAACATCCTCACTTGACACCCAACACTGACGGAATTTCTCTCTGAAGTTTCTACATCCTTGTTTCTGACTAAGACAGTTAGATGTAACTCAATGCTGATCTTGTCGCTACAGGAAATGCCACTTGGATTACACTAATGATTAGCTGTGAGATCGGACACTACTCACAGGACAACTATTGTTTACTGCGTGAGCAGCAGACCACTGTCAGGAAGAGGACTCTGGCTCATCAGGACATTGCCATGGTGATCGTGAACTGCATTTCTTGTCTGAGGTAAGTACAATAACTCAACAGGTCAATAATTATAATTTATCTGAAATTTATCCCAGAAAATCAGGATTCTGAGGATTAGTCCAGACGGTGAACTGGGTTTCACTCGTCTTCAAATACCTTGCTAGCCCTTCTTGAATAAGACAAAAATGTTATATTTCTTTTAATTTCTGTCAGTTTTATTCAGTTCCAATTTGTATGGAAGCTAAAAGATTCAGAACTGGTTCTGTTAACTGTCAGTGAGGATTAAAATCATTTCATTTTTACTGTGGATTTTCTTCAGCATAATTCAGCTGTCTTGGGCTAACTGACTGGTGTGAATTTGAAGTATAGGAAACACATTCCAAGTTTTTACACAAACCAAAATGGAGTTACCCATCAGCGAAGCACAAACTAACCAAATACTTCACCCATGTTTCTGTGATCTGGGAGTTACAATATGTTGTGTAAAGTTACGTCCCTTTACAATACTTATAATGATTCTCAAATTCATCCCAATTGTTATCAAATGTCTCCAGCTGGATCTGTATGTTTCTGGCCGTTATTGGCCATTAAATTAGATTTGGCCATTGTACTTGGCATCTTTTTGACTGCTTGTCATAGTTATTGATTGATGGATGTTAATCTTGTCAGTTTTCTTTACTCACTTTTCTTTAACAAGAAACAAGGTCCATGCTTGGACCCATGTCAGATAGTTCAGTTTGTTATTTGTTTGTTTGTTTGTTTGTTTGTTTGTGTGTTTGTTTGTTGTTATTCACCACCACAATTAGAACTATTTGAGCTGTATTCTGGACTAGACAATCCAGGGAGTGATATCATGAGCATCGATGTACATAATTTGGATACCTTTGCATGCACGAGTGAGTGAGTTTAGTTTTACACTGCAATATCACAGTGGTGGACACCAGAATCGAACCCACATCTTTGGTGTGATGAGTGAATGCTTTAACCACTAGGCTACCCTGGCACCACCCCTTGTATGCATTAACCAAGTCAGCAAACCTGCATGAGCACTTGTGTTGGGAATTGGTTGAAATCTCACAATTGATGATTGCTTCATTACCAACGAACAATCATCGACAAAAATTGGTTAGCGTCATTTTTTCAGATTTTCCTATCCAGGTTGTTATTGCAGATATGTATAACATGATGCAACTTGCTACTTTAAAGTGATGACTAATATATCATGAACATAAACTTCCCAGAGTCTTCAAGAAATATTCAGTCATGGTTTTTCAGTTAGTGAAGTGAGTTTTCTAAGAATTAAACACATTTTCAGGCCCTGACAACTTCAACGATATGTTCCATTGTCAAGTATTTCAAAGACTAAAACATTAGTTCCAAAATCGTTTATGTTCGATTATGAGAAAATGTGATCGATTGCTTGGTCGTTTTGTCACTGCGACCAATCTTCGATTATTTAAATTAATCGGAACACCACTAATGTCTGTGTTTCAGTATAGGAGGTACGACAGTCATAGGGCTACGATAGCTTTGTGAAACGGGGCCCTGGATCTGTAGGTTGGTTGTTGGTTGTGGGTGGTTGTTGTAACAAGGTGGGATGCCCCCAATATCAACCACCTTTTTGTCCCAGACTTTACTGTTAGCAGGTCATTCTGACATGCCTGAAATGTTGCTGACTAAGTCATGAAAGTACAATCCAAAGAATATCTGAGACATCATCATCAGACTTCAGGAACCTTCAGGAATTATGGGTTAGACGTTTTATCATCATCATCATCATCATCATCATCATCATCATCATCATCATCATCATCAGACTTCAGGAACCTTCAGGAATTATGGGTTAGACGTTTTATCATCATCAGACTTCAGGAACCTTCAGGAATTATGGGTTAGACGTTTTATCATCATCAGACTTCAGGAACCTTCAGGAATTATGGGTTAGACGTTTTATCATCATCAGACTTCAGGAACCTTCAGGAATTATGGGTTAGACGTTTTATCATCATCATCATCAGACTTCAGGAACCTTCAGGAATTATGGGTTAGACGTTTTATCATCATCATCATCATCATCATCAGACTTCAGGCACCTTTAGGAATTATGGGTTAGACGTTTTATCATCATCAGACTTCAGGAACCTTCAGGAATTATGGGTTAGACGTTTTATCATCATCAGACTTCAGGCACCTTCAGGAATTATGGGTTAGACGTTTTATTATCATCATCATCATCATCAGACTTCAGGAACCTTCAGGAATTATGGGTTAGACGTTTTATCATCATCATCATCATCATCATCATCAGACTTCAGGAACCTTCAGGAATTATGGGTTAGACGTTTTATCATCATCAGACTTCAGGAACCTTCAGGAATTATGGGTTAGACGTTTTATCATCATCATCATCATCATCAGACTTCAGGAACCTTCAGGAATTATGGGTTAGACGTTTTATCATCATAATCATCATCATCATCATCATCATCATCATCAGACTTCAGGAACCTTCAGGAATTATGGGTTAGACGTTTTATCATCATCATAAGACTTCAGGAACCTTCAGGAATTATGGGTTAGACGTTTATCATCATCATCACCATCATCATCATCATCATCATCATCATCATCATCATCATCATCAGACTTCAGGAACCTTCAGGAATTATGGGTTAGACGTTTTATCATCATCAGACTTCAGGAACCTTCAGGAATTATGGGTTAGACGTTTTATCATCATCATCATCATCATCATCAGACTTCAGGAACCTTCAGGAATTATGGGTTAGACGTTTTATCATCATCATCATCATCATCAGACTTCAGGAACCTTCAGGAATTATGGGTTAGACGTTTTATCATCATCATCATCATCATCATCATCAGACTTCAGGAACCTTTAGGAATTATGGGTTAGACGTTTTATCATCATCATCATCATCATCATCAGACTTCAGGCACCTTTAGGAATTATAGGTTAGACGTTTTATTATCATATCATCATCATCATTCATCATCAAGACTTCAGGAACCTTCAGGAATTATGGGTTAGACGTTATATCATCATCATCATTGTCATCATCATCATCATCATCATCATAAGACTTCAGGAACCTTCAGGAATTATGGGTTAGACGTTGTACCCAGCAACCTATGATAGTTGAGAAATGTGGTTCAATGATCTCGTCCAAGCTCCATTATTTACAGGCACCTGTCATAGAGTTGGAATATTGTGAGTGTGGTGTTGTAGAGCCCTTCATTAAAATGATATCATTCTCAAGCAAAACATTTCCAATCCCTCTAAAGGAGATAATAACATCTTTTAAACATAAAAAAGTAAATTATGGGACCTTGATTGGATGTTTAAGATTTTGCATTTTATTTTTTGTCTGCCTGTTACAACACTGGGTTTGAGGTTTTGCAATCCAGACTTTGGAAAGAGAAAGACCGTTTTAACCCTGTAAGGAACAACCACCTATGACCATGTTGAAGACAGACCAGAAAGACCGATTCAGTATTGGAGATAAAACTTTCATGGTGTCATCACCGGATAAATTGGCAAGCAACGGAAACTCAAAATGGTGTGCAGGCTGTATGATTAAACCTTGGTTCCTGGCTACCTAAACAAGTGGTTAGGTGGTGGCCGATGTCATTCAGGTTTCCATTGAATGACACATAGCATTACATTCATTGGTTCTCAGTATGGAGTACAAGTCAAATAATGGACAACTGAAGATTTTAGTGAGGTAAAATCACACAAGAGCAGCAGAACAGTTTGTTGGAGCCTTTATCAAAAACACGGAGTGAAGACATATTATAATTATTGATGTTTGTATTTAATGATGCCTTGCATTCTCAGCTATAACCAGATACGGTAGTGATTAATGCCAAATGTAATGTAATGCAATGCCATTTAGAAATGGTCAATGTAAAAATTGTAAAAAGTGTTATGTTTGGAATAACACTTTCTCAATAGAGTACAGATTGTAGCGCCTCTTTGGGTTGAGTTCCATCTGGGACCAAAGTTCTCAAAAGTACTAATTCCAAATATAGCATTTGTAACATTTTACCATTTCAAAATGGCATTTTTTGGCCAAAGCCTGTTGGCTGAAAGCTTGCTGCATGGACTCACAGTGGAACAAATGTTCTTAAAGAGCTGGTGGTATCTTCCTATTCTTTATCGGCTTATCTGCAAACATAATCAAAGGTCACATCTCTAGTTAAGGAAATGTTATGCGTTTTTGCAAAAATACAAACTTCTGAGTTTCCTTTAAGCATGATTTCCCAGTGGACCCTGTTAAAGGTCAGACAGAAATTTGGATAAAGAAATCTTGATGGTGCAGGTGAGAAAGCCCTTGGGTGGTTGTAGTGTGTTGTTACATGGTCTCATGCCTGAAGGAAGGGGGACAGGGGTTTTACAGTAATCTCAGCCTCTGTCAACTTGCTGTATAGGTCAATATCATATATGGAATGAATTCATGGTGGCCCTATCACTGAAGACTATGTGGTCAAGTGATTCATAGTAGCACTAGTTCATCGTCATCTTTATCCTAACTGTTGTCAACATCATCATCATCATCATCATCATCATCATCATCATCATCCTCCTTCCATCATCATAATCCAGTCCCTTCCTGGCGCTCGGCTTAATGGGTACAAGGACTGGTCGGCTCGGAGTCAGTATAATGTGTCTGAGTGGGGTATTCATGCTTCACTGCGGCATGGTATCTCAGTGAGCTAGCACTATAAAACCAGTTTAAGTCTGGGCTAGTACAAGCCGCGGCACATACACATAGACACGCATGCACGTCGTCCACATATGAGCGAAACATTGTCAAGCACAACGTTAAACCCAATTTCACTTCACCTCATCATAATCCATCCATCCATCCATCATCATCATCATCATCATCATCCATCCATCCATCCATCCATCCATCATCATCATCATCATCATCATCGTCCATCATCATCTTCATAATCACCTGGGGACAGTGGTGGAGCCTAGTGGTTCAAATGTTCACTCGTCATGCTGAAGACCTGGGTTTGATTCCCTTCATGGGTACAATGTGTGAAGCCTATTTCTGGTGTCCCCTGTCGTCATATTGCTGGAACATTGCTAAAGGTGGCTTAAAAGCAAACTCACTCATTCACTCACTCACTCACTCACTCATAATCACCTTCATCATCATCACAATCACAAATACCCAGAACCGTCAATATACTGTCCCCTTACGTATTATTGTGTTTTTGAGCCCATGTGTTGTTGTGTGTGTGGCATTCTAGAAAAATACCAATTCTTGTTTTTGTGTTCTGTTTACGAAGTCATCAATTCTGGAAATTTCAAACAATTTCGTACCAAGCTTAAATACATTGGTAGATTAGTGGATGTGCTTTTGGAAGCATGAATATTCCTTAACTTAATCGAGGATACATTTGATGTTTCCATGCAACTTATTGAGTAAAAAATGTAATATAGAAAACTATTATGTCCATCATTACAAGAATCAATATCTTGTTTCATTTCCGTTACCAGTGAACACATGGCCTCAATCTAATATCTGTCTTAGATGCTGTCATTTATTATGCCACATAATAGTTCCCTGAGGACTACTTTTGTGTGATTTAGTACTCAATATTTGATTGCTCATAATTTATCAATTGCGGAAATGCAAATTGAAAACAGGACTTTCTACTTATTGATGATTTAATGGGCTGATGAAGGAAAATTTGCTTAGTAAAAAAAGAATTAATTAAATCTATATATTGTTTTAGATGAGCAGGAATAAATAGTTGTCCTTCGGTGAAACAATCAGTACTGCAGATTTAAATGATCTGTTGTACTATTTTATGGGACCATGAGTGTATATTTTCAGTTTGATGTTTGGCTTTCTGTAAATGGGTACCATTACCAGTGAGACAAGTTGTCTTTTATATAGAAACGAGATTTGTGGTTGGTTGGAAAAACCTTATTTTATCAAATTTCAGTGTTGGTGGCCGAGGAGTAAATCATTTAAGAATTTAAGTATTCACTGATTATAAATAAATAGCAGACTATTGAGTTTATTGTTGGTTTAACACTGTACATGAGCTTGATGATTTAGCCAGCGTGCAGTGCACTTTGAATTTTGATATTCTCACATCAAGATCGCTCACAGGCTCTCACTCACTCACACACTCACTCACTCACTCACTCACTCACTCACAAAAATCTCATTCACTCACAAAAATCTCACTCACTCACTCATTCTTACAGTAGGAATATTTCAGTCTGTTACAGTACTGTCATGGCAACAACATATACAATGGTTTAGTTACATTTATTTCTATGGCAACAGTATCTATGGTTTATATTACAATATCTATCAACATATACACTTAAAAAAAACCTTGATAGGAATAATTAGAATAATATGTCCATACCCCATTCTGCTTGTAATTGACAACAAACACGGACTGTGTAGTGACATGTTATTGAGCTGGTGGGCCCAGTCGTCTCAGGCACCTCATTTCCTTGTTGTGTCCTGGGTTCAAATCCGGTTCACCCAGATTATGTTTCTAGGTCTGTCAAAACCAAACATGTGAGACCTGCATCCCTTTAGACGTTCATCCCACATTAAGCTCACATGCTGCGATGTAATACTGTTGAAAGCAGTGTCAAACCCAATTCCCTCACTAACTCATTACGGATCCATGAAGATCTGGGTTAGAATTGATCTTCAGTAACCCATGCTTGTTGTAAGAGGCGACTAACGGGATCTGGTGGTCAGGCTCGCTGACTGGGTTAACACATGTTGTCATAAATCAATTGTGCAGATTGATGCTCATGATGCTGATCACTGGATTGTCTGGTCCAGACTCGATTATTTAAAGGACTGCCGTTATATAGCTGTAACATTGCTGAGTGTGGCATTAAACAACAAACCATTACATGGATTTATTCTTCTTTTCAATCCTTATTACATTTGAGCTATCAGATAAAATCCTTTTTCATTTTAGAAGTAGTACAAAGACATGGAAAATTTGACTTTGGGATAAAACCAACATGGCTGTGTAATAACGGACATTTCGTGACAGTTGACCTCAAACATCAATCAGCGCATGTTATGTCTCCCCTGCATACAGAAGGGAAGTGTAGATCATAAACACGCATTGAGAAATGCTTAATAGCTTTCATAGAAGTCTTCAGCAATTTCATGGTCGTATTCAGCAACAAGATAGCTCAATTATTCCATTTCTAAAGTACACAGAGGGAAAATGACCTCCTATGGAAAAGCATGATGATAGAATCATGACAAGGAATACTTGGCTGGATAGAAATCACACCATCATGTTCTTGAATACCGAATGCTTGCTTGTCCTGCACATAGAGCAGGCTACAAGAAATGAATTATAAGGCTTCGGAGTGAATAAGCTGTGGTAATGTAAAAATTAATATTTGATGGATGTCCGGGATTTTGTTAGATACTCATGTTGGTGTTGGACATAATGATCACAAGTGTTTTTGTGGGGTTGTAGATTACTAAGGGGTATTACAGAGTGGGTAAGTGTTTCAGGGTGGAGGTGGTGGGTTTGTGGGGTTGTGTAGTCTACTACTTGGCAGGGTCATTGGCAAGGTGGGGATAGGTGGGTTTACTGTGAAATGTGGGTGTGTCTACAGAGCACGTGGGTGGGTAAGTCTGCAGAAAGGTGTTGATTGATCTGCAACAGAATGTGGCTTTGTAGTCCAGTGTGGTTTTGATGGGTGGGTCTGGAAAAGACTGTGGGTGTGGCTACAGCGTGGTGCCATGTGTCATTAGCAGGGTGTTAGTGAGTAGGTCTGTACAAGAGTGTGGATGGGTAGGTCGACAACTGGGTGTGGATGGGTGGTTCGGTCTGCCCAATGGTGTGGGTGGTCGGGTCTACTGCATGGTGTGCGTCTGTAGCAGAGTTATGGATCTACAGAAGGGCATGTGAGGGGATCTGATAAAGCCCATGCAATGTGTGGCAAGTCTAGATTACAACAGTTTCTACAACAGTTCACTGAAAGTTAAGAAAGTCTCTGGGCTCCTTTTCATTATATTTCTATATTTTAATTAAGGAAAAAAATTGTTCTGTGAAATATACTCATGGAAAAGAATAAGGGGACATATGAAAGTACAAGTGTTCCTTCATTCTTTTCCAAGTTTCTTCACAAGGTATGTATTGCCTTAATAATTTCCCATGAATGAATATATATGTTCATTTCAGAGATTAACTGTTACTCTAGTCTTGTTTTTTTTCGTTCCATGGTCTTTTAGTATGATACAGCAATAGTTTCTTTAAGTGGGAGACACAAGAAGTGAGCGACTTTGATGAGCGTGTTCACTCTCAGGTCGAATGATTAATTGATGTTGCTACTCACGCTGAAGCTGATGAAGATGCAGGTGATTGCCACAGAGGAAGCAGCCAGGAGATAGAGAGTCTTAATTGTTGGTTAGCGTGTGTCCAATGTATTGCAACAACTTCCTAATTGTTCGACAATCAATTGGTCTGGAGAAGTGAAGGTCATGTAACATGTTCCATGAAGTAATACTGTGTTCCTTGATGCATATGGATTTACTGGTTGAGTTGGGTTTTATGTCGCTTTTAGCAATATTCCAGCAATATCACGGCTGGGGACACCAGAAATGGGTTTCACACATTGTACCCATGTGGGGAATCAAACCCGGGTCTTTAGTATGACAAGCGAACATTTTAACCACTAGGCTACTCCACCGCATGTGGAAGCAATTGTTGAAGGGATAACTTTACTGTGCAGAGTTGTGGCCCTTAGTTTATCAGGATCTACTGATCAGGGATACAAATCACAGACCTGTCCAGAAAAAATTAATATCTGTTTGGACCATACCCATGATTTCCCATAAGATTTTGACGTCACATGACTTTGGCTTTTCATTCACAAGAAGCTTTAATGTGGAAATGCTGAAGTTCTCATCAAGATTCTGTAAGACACAATTCACTCAAATCTAACAAATTCCATCGAATATATTCTATGTCTTAGATCTACATGACTTGTAAACAAGTTTGCTTATAAAAGAAAACATCATGATTTTTATGTCTAAAAGACATTCATCTTCCATAATAGTAATTTTTTTCTGTCAAAAAGTAATTACTGCACTTAATAGAATATGTTGAACATTTCACTGCCTTTATTTTCTTCCACACAAGAGCTATACAAACATCAAAAATAGAATCTGGAACCTTTTCAGAAACCTTTTTTTATTAAATTTACAAAATTATGCAAAGGGAATGGTTTGATTCCCACTATTAGAACTGTAAAGTGATTTTACTGCTAATGCACTTTTCTTGTCGAATTAAAGACGTTTCTGAATTTCTATGATGGCTTTTTCAATTAAATGGATTCTTAACATGCTTGACAATCTCTGGTAAATGACCTGCTTCAAATTATATCTTCATGCATACATTAATACCTTCATCCTCTAGAATAGGTCTTCAGCAACCCATGCTTGCCACAAAAGGTGACTCTGCTTGTCGTAAGTGGCCACTAATGGGATCGGGTGGTCAGGCTCGCTGACTTGGTTGACACATGTCATTGGTTCACAATTGCAAATATCGATGCTCATGCTGTTGATCAGTGGATTGTCTGGTCCAGATTCGATTATTTACACACGGCCGCCATATAGCTGGAATATTGCTGAGTGCGGCGTATATTCCTTGTAAAAAAGCCATAAGACCTCACTCACTCTTTCACTCACCAACTCACTCACTCACTCTATTGACCAGATTATGTGCAGGCAATTGTGTTGAATATATGCTGATGAAATACTTTAAGCAATATTCATTCACTCACTCACTTTCACATCAACTGACACGCTGATAATATTGAAATACTATTCAAGTTTGTACTATCACTATCTATCATTCACTCACTCACTCACTGACATTCACCCAACTGGTTCTTTTAATTGAACAAGTGTTGTCAGTAAAAGTAAAATCTGGAGAAACTTGATTTTGGAAATGGAATCAACATGGGTAATTTATTCTTCTACCAGAATCAACAGATCTGATTGATCTTTCCTACTTCAGCCTTGAAATGGTTGATGTGTATTTTCTGTATAAATTTACCACTTTGAAGAAAATCCATGGGCATGTATGGTGCTGACCTAGAAACATAATTGAGGCATTCAAACTCTTAAGCATAGGTTTCTTGTGTGTCCAAGGAGTAAATCTGTATATCAAATTGGGTTGCCTTAGATGACAGGTGACAGGGCCAGCCCTCCTCCTAAACGATCTACAAAACTTTACATATTTGCAGCAGTTCTTGGGCATATTGTTACAAAAGGATTACATGAGCCAATCAGAAGGATGCAGAATTTTCATTTCTTATTGAGACATTCCATGATTTCCTTGTTGTCAGTGACCAGGGAATTCTTGTAATGATGTTTATGGTGTGGTAGACTGACTGACTGACTGAGTTTGGTTTTCGCCGCTTTTAGCAATATTCCAGCAATATCACAGCGGGGGACACCAGAAATGGGCTTAGCACATTGTGCCCATGTGGGGAATCGAACCCGGGTTCGGCGTGACGAGCCAACGCTTTAACCACTAGGCTACCCCACCGCCCCTTGGTGTGGTAGAGCATAATTCTAAGATCGATAATTGTAATTCTTGTGGAACATGTCTGGCAGATGTTTTGTGTAAATATGTGGCCAATGTAATGATTTTCTTCCTGTCAAAATCATCAAACACATTTAGACATTGGCAGAGGTTTGGGAGAGGTCGACAGGAGCGAAGAAGGGAGCAGAAATGGACATGGGTGGTCAGAAGTGAGCAGTATTGACCATGTGTTGGTCGGAGTGAGCAGTAATGACCATGTGTTGGTCAATGTGAACAGCAATGAGCATGGGTTGGCAAGTGTGAGCAACAGTGAGCTTGGGCGAGTAGGAGTAAGCAGCAATGATCTTGGGTGAGTAGGTGTAAGCAGCAATAAGCATGGGTTGGCGATTGTGAGCAGCAATGAGCATGGGTTGGCAATTGTGAGCAGCAATGAGCATGGGTTGGAATTGTGAGCAGCAATGAGCATGGGTTGGCAATTGTGAGCAGCAATGAGCTTGGGTGAGTAGGTGTAAGCAGCAATAAGCATGGGTTGGCAATTGTGAGCAGCAATGAGCTTGGGTGAGTAGGTGTAAACAGCAATAAGCATGGGTTGGCAAGTGTGAGCATGGGTTTGCAAGTGTGAGCAGCAATGAGGTTGGGTGAGTAGGTGTAAGCAGCTGAGAGCATGGGTTTGCAAGTGTGAGCAGCAATGAGCATGGGTGAGTAGGTGTAAGCAGCAATGAGCATGGGTTGACAAGTGTGAGCAGCAGTGAGCTTGGTAAGTAGGTGTAAGCAGCAATGAGCATGGGTTGGCAAGTGTGAGCAGCAGTGAGCTTGGTAAGTAGGTGTAAGCAGCAATGAACATGGGTTGGCAAGTGTGAGTAGCAATGAGCATGGGTGAGTAGGAGTAAGCAGCAATAAGCATGGGTTTGTCAGTGTGAGCAGCAATGCGATTTGAAACGCACACAGACTTGATACAAGCAAATAAGTGTGGACTTTTCTCAGTATCATATTGAAACTGGCTGTTGAGTATATTTCCCTGAAAGAAGGCACATCAAGCCTCATCAAGTATTTGAAACATTTGTGCCAACTATTATGTTTGGTTTCCTCGTGTAAAGGGAAATACACATCTTGAAAGACAAGGACAATTCATAGTTCTCGTTTCATAAATGGAGGTTCCACTTTGTGTTTCAAAGTGTTTGTTATTGTTTCAAGAGTATCTGTGCGAGTTGTAGCAGCATCACAAGGCGTATACATGTTTTTGCTTCCGGCATAGTATCTTGTCAAAATCATGTGAAGCAATAAGATCTCAACAATGTGGACATTCAACCATGATTGAAAATTTTAATTTCTCAGTCAGAGGTTTCAAGTCACTTTAAACATACCTGTGACTTATTATTTTGCATATACATACTTCAACCAATGAATGATTTTCGTTTGCCTTTTTCTTCAAATTTATGTCCCTTGGTCAAACCAGGATCTGCTGATCATGAGTTCACCCAACGGGGTTCATATTAATTCAGGCCAAAGACCTGGGTTCGATGCCGCACATGAGCACAATGTGTGAAGATCATTCCTAATGTGTCCCCTGCTATGATATTGCTCGAATATTGCTGGAATATTGCTTAAAAGCTGCGTAAAACTAAACTCACTCACTCACTCACCACGTAGAAGTTAAGACATAGGACTACCTCAGACTGGTTGTATAGTACATGTAATATTGTAACCTTTACCATCTCTGAGAAGTTCATTCAGTGATGGAGTATCTCTAATGGCCAGCACTGTCGCGACAGTTTTGTTGCAAATGACACATTACGATCGTGTTACATTTGATTTGTCGGTTGATATCATTTTCAAGACAACATTTATCACCTCAGAAAGTAAGCATGAAATTTATCCATAGAAGCAAGTTAATATTGAAGATGTATTGCGAGCAATGAAAGGTATTGATTGTTGTTTATACAGTTGTTTTATATGTCATTTTAGAAAGGGGCAAGCGTCTAGATTTGTGTGTGTGTGCGTGCATGCGTGTGTGTGATTTTGGAAAGGGAATTGAGTTATGATTTCTCCTATTTTTAGTAATCTAATGAATATTCAAGGAGCCAACATGATTTTAGAAGATTAGATGATTTCACATTGATCCAACTAATTTCTGTTGGCACCAACAGGATTTCACATGAAGCCTTTTTTTTCTATTTTTACAAAAATCCAGTATGATTTCAGGAGTAACCCACATTCCTTCACAATATGACAGCATATTTTCTCAGAAGTAACACATGATATCACAAAGGTCAATCATTATATCACAAATATCCAACATTATACAACAAGAATCCTTCATGATTTCACAAGCAGCTAGTATGATTTCACAATAAGCCAATATCATTTCACAATAATCCATCATGATTTCACAATAAGCCAATATCATTTCACAATAATCCATCATGATTTCACAATGAACCAATATCATTTCACAGAAATCCATCATGATTTCACAATAAGCTAATATCATTTCACAGAAATCCATCATGATTTCACAATAAGCTAATATCATTTCACAGAAATCCATCATGATTTCACAATGAGCCAATATCATTTCAATTAAATCCATCCTGATTTCACAAGTAGCCAGTATGATTTCATGAAAGGTAATGATTTGAAAGGAACTAACAGGATTTTGCAAGAGGCCAACTCGATTTCATGACAGTCCTTCATTAAATGTCGCAAGAAACCAACATGTTTGACATTTTACTTCATTTCTTCTAACCTAATCTAAACTCTCAGTAGTCTTACAACAAGGGCATCCTGACTTTTAATCTTAATTTAAAAAACTGCAGCGAATGTCAGAAAGTCATTAGCTGAGACCAAAGACAAAAGCTGGGGTCAATTTTGTGAAATTCTGGTCACCAAGGCTTTCTGAAGTAGAATAATTCCTGAAAGAAAAAACACTAGCAAGTTGTTTTTTAGGATCAAAGCAATTGAAAAGACGATGACTATCGGTATAATTTCTAACTTAGTTATGTTTCTTGATATCGTTGGTAGTGCAGTGTGGCAGCAGTGTTTAGTGGCGGTACTTTAAGGCCTTCTGTTATTTCATTTTTGGTTTTCAAAGATGTTGGGGTAAAACATCATGTAGGTGGTCAGTTGTGTTTTGAGTAATTGCTATGATAAACACAAGGTCACACCATCATAGAAGCACAACTGTAAAAGAATGCTTAAAGATTATTTTATGTTCTGTTATTTTGTTGTTGGTGTTCGTGGATTTGGGGGTACAATTTCATACAGGTGTTCATGTTTTTTTAAATATTGCTATTATAAACACAATGTCAAACTATTATAGAAGTGTAACTATGAAAGAATACTTAATGATTATTTTTTATTACATTTACGATTTTTATGATTTATTTACCTATTTTTCAAGAACTGCAGTGCTGCAAATCTTAAGTCATTCTTGGTCCACCAAATCAGCCAACCAAATCCAGGCCCTGATTTCTCGAAACAAACTTCAGTTTTTACTCAAATTTCAAACTGAGTTTGACAATTTGAAACAACTGAAATTTTAACTCAACTGCATTTTTAAAATAAAAAAGCCCAAACAACTTAAGTATTCTATCCACTAAACTCAAATTGCCTACTATGTTTGAGTTTAATATTGATTTCAGTTCTTTCTGGGAAATGCATTTTCCTGCCTTTTCTCAAAAACTCAGACTTAAGTTTGTTTCGAGAAATCGGGGTCAGATTGTCATTACAGTATTGTCATCTGAGGCCATTGATAATATGGATGTATTTTATGCATGGACAGTCTGATCATCCATTACATCTATGTTTATGCCCTTGCACTTATCATTAAGTATCTGGTTGGGTGGCTTTGTGGGTAATGTAGTCACCCATCATGCCAAAGGTCTGGGTTTTATTCCCCACATGGGTACAATGTGTGAATTCCAATTCTGGTGTCGCCTGCAATGATTTTGTGGTAATGTTGCTAAATGCAGCGTTAAATCATGCTCACCATTTATTCAGATGAATGAACACTTAACCTGTAGAGTGATCTACAAAGTCACAGTTGATAATTCCATTTAGGAAGAATATAAATAGTCAATTCTTCATTTGTTTATCAAGAGGTTCTTTTTTAATTACTTACAGAAAAGTATATAAATACAACAGAATTTTTTTTTTTTTAAAAATACATCCTCTACATACAAAAAGGAAACATTTCCGACTACAGTTGCACTTTCACATTTTTTAAAAGAATAACTGGGAGAGAGTTGCGAAAGCTTTAAGTGAAGTGTGTCCTGATGTAGAGATTGTGAAGTGAAATATAGCATAGATTTGCTAGTTTCAGGACTTGACAAACATGGGAGTAAAATCATTAATAGAAGATATGCTGTTTGGTTCCTAGATCTGTCTGTCTGTCTGTCTATGACCCATGAAGGTCCAGGTTAAAATGTGCCATGTCATCGGTTCCCAATTGCGCAGATCGATGCTCATGCTGTTAATCACTGAATTGTCTGGTCCAGACTAAATTATTTACAGACTGCCGCCATATAGCTGGAATATTGCTGAGTGAGGCGTAAAAACTAAACTCACTCACTCACTTTCCATCCATCCGTCCATCTGCCTGTCTGTCCATCTATCTGTATCAGACCTCAAGTGTGTCTGTGTCTGTCTGTCTGTATTTGTCTGTCTGTGAGAGATGGAGAGATTGAAGACAACATTAATCTACATTTCATCTCACCTGACCTCTCCTTAATGGCTGCACGCTATCAGTTATTTCAGTGATATGAAATGTCTTGGCTTCTCTTTCGTTTATCAAAAAAGCATATCTGTATGAATAGAAAATATGACTTGAAGGATTTCAAGTCAAAGTCAAACTTTACATTCTAAAGGAAAGTACACAATTTTTTGGAACTGTGTCAAGAATTCTTTCAAACTCAGCCTCCCACACATGCAAAACAACTTTCTCCACATCCATGTTTTCATCGTGACAGAGGAATGAAACCAGTTCCGTGTTACCAACAAGTCATTGAACTCAATTCCTCTGAAGTCTAAGCACCAGGATTACCGATTTGTCAGGTATTCCGTTATCCTGTCAGTACCAGGTATCCAATAGCCAGCCTGCTTACAACAGAGTTCGGGCAAAGTAGGAAGGTGAGGTTACAACCAAAATGATGTGATACAAACCTCTCACCCAACCATTCCCTTCCAGGAACCATTTATTCTAAAATTAAAGCACAGTGCTGAATGTCTTGGAGAGACGTGGATTTATGATGTGGAGTGCTCTTCCTCATTAGTGAGGAGTTCTGCTTGTGGGATAGCGTTCATATGACTCTGGGTCCGTCGTGAGTTACCACTGCTGCTGTTTGCTAGCGGTAGTGCTACAGCTGGCTCTCTGACTGCCGTTTCTTAAAGGCGATTCATTGATTGAAGTCGGGGCATATGTGAAACATTAGTGTTAACTTTGTGTGGCATTGTTTGGGATCTGTTTACAAGGAGGTAAGAATTTTCTATTATCGCTGTATCCTTGTCTGAATGTTAACAGAGTCTGATAATGATAAAACAATGGAAAGAAAAATGTAAACTATCAATTTGGGAGTTATTGACAGTGCAATTGATACTTTGTTTTGTTGTGTTCCTAATAGGATGAAAGCATGTTTTGACACTTAAATGGCTTGTATACAATTCTCTACAAATTTACAGTGCTGTGTGTACTTGTATTGTGTAGTTGTATGATATTTTTTTCTATCAATAACTTGACTACTTAGGAACAGAAACTTGAAAACAACCACGTACCAGGAGACATGAAAACCAAATCTTTGATCGGTTGTTTTATTTGAAGTTAGGTCGTATTTAATCTTTGTTTTCTGAAACTCTACATTAAAAAATTAAAGTATTACACTCACATCTGAGAAAGTATTATGAAATAGAAAAAGTCTTACATTTCTGAGTTGATTTTTAGTGGTTAAAACCACAAGAGGATGCTTGTAGGTATCAGCTTACAAGACTTGCTGTCTGCCATGAGCTGGCTGGTCTAGTGTAAACTTTGTCCCAAAGCGATGATACCTTTCAGTATTGTATGCACAATGGGTGTTTCTTCAAGGTTGTTATTGCATATTATAGCTATCAATTTGGGAGTTATCCTTCGTCAGGCAGTTAATGGAAGACCTCAGCCTTCTGCAAATGATAATGCCCTCAAAAATAGCATTACCCTTATAATACTCAAGTGACTTAATGACTTGCGTGGCCATGGATATCAGGGTTAGCATTAGTTGTCAGCAACTGATTCCTGTTCTTAGTCAAACATGCTAACTTGGAAGATGAATGTCATTGTACCCCAATTACATAGGTCTGTGCTCATGACGTCCATCACTGGATCTGGTACAGACTTAATTCTATAAGCTGATAAAGTGATACCATAATTATGTCTTAATTCCATAGACCTGTGCTCATGATGTCAATCACTGCATCACTTCTGGCTTTCCTGATGCTTTAAGTTGACATGCATCCCAAGGTAACTAGAACCAGTTCAAATACTGATAAGTTAAACTCACACACTAATCCACTATATTTGCAAATTATTCCTTAATCCACACGGTATCCCTTAGAACTGTATGGTCAACATTCAAAAGGTTTTACTGTGGAATGACCGTGAAGATCCGGATCAGATCTGGTCTTCAGCGACCCATGCTTGTCATAAGAGGCTATTATTGGGATCGGGTTGTCAGACTTATTGGCTGGTTGCCACGTCATCGTATTCCAATTGCATAGATCGATGCTCATGACGTTGATCATTTGATTGTCTGGTCCTGGCTGGACTATTTTAGCTAGAATATTGCTGAGTGCTGTATTCAACAAAAAACAAACTCTGTGACCCATTGTTCATTGATATGACATTTTTCTATCTGGAATAATATCTTGCCTTTCTCAAAAGAAATGTTCTTTTTGTCGAATGTGGAAGAAGGTGGATGATTCTAAAAGATAATTTTGTACAATTGCTACGTCACGATCACATTCCTGTACTGAAAGATATCAAGTCACAGAAGTGCCCCGAGCTCCACAGTTGGAACTATCTCCTTGCAGCTTGATACCATGAAGGCAACTAAAACAGTTTGTCTGGAATTAAATCTTCCCTTTATCAAATTGAATGATAGTATTGTAGATTTCAAGAAAGCCAATGACATTTCTACTTGAAATCAAAAGATGAAACAGAAAATGTTTTTGACTGGAATTATATGTTCCCTTTATCAGATTGAAAGTTCAATTATATCTAAATGTGCATAAAAGCCCTTAAGAAGAAGGTTTTAGTGAGTTTGTATCATTTGTAAAAATTATAGGGTAATGTCAGTTCCTTTGCGAACCGTGAAGATCCGGGTTAGAATTAGTCTTCAGCAACCCATGCGTCTTGTAAGAGGCAACTAACAGGATCGGGAGGTCAAGTTTGCTCCCTTGGTTGACACAGTTCAATGCTCATAATGTTGATCACTGGATTATCTTGACCAGATGCGATTGCTTATAGACCGCCGCCATATAGCTGAATATTGCTGAGTGTGGCATTAAACAACAAACAATCAATACATTCCTTTGTGGAACTGAAATCTTACAATATATTCCATTCCTGTCAAAGAATGTGTGAAGCCCATTTCTGGTGTCCCCCGCCGTGATGTTGCTGGAATATTGCTAAAAGCGGAGTAAAACCAAACTCAGTCAGTCAGTCCTGTCAAAGAACAGCTTTGGAAGCTAAATGGAAATCCTGCTAGTGAAGGTCAGTGTGAAATATATCATCCTTGAAAGATTCATTTTAATTTATTGCCTCATAAATTGTTTCTGAACCATCATTCCCTTTCATGGAAACAAGCCACTTCCTTTGAAGGCTTTGTGATTTGTTTATGAATAATTGATTAAATTCAAAAAGTTTTTATATAGCTGAAAAGTTGAAAGGGTTATTGAAATTTTTGAAATAATTTAAACTGGAACCTAGGATCAGAGTCAATGGCATGGGAGAAATGATGAAATATAAAATATTTATTGATTGGTTATGTTATATTATACAAATATTTCTTCTGCTGCTGCTTTATATATCCTGTATATTGTATATCATAGATATATATCCACTTTGCTCAGATGCTATTTCAGGAACAACTATTCATTGTTTGAAGTTTCTTAAATGAAACTCAAGAAAGCAGAAATATCAAAGGCTAGACTTGGTACAACAAAGGCTTACAAAGATTGGAATTACTTTAAACAAGTTGGTAAGAAAAGTAGGTGTCTGTATTTATGGAAAGGTCTGTTGGGTGTTCAAGGAGCCATATTTGCTGGGTTGGAATTTGCTTGCAAAAAAAAGTATTCTGTTTATTTTCAAAGTCTTAATAATAGCACTCATGGTAAGGAGTGAAGAGCTTTTTGTGGCTTGAAATAGTTTGAATGGAGATCCTGTGCAACATTGTTTAAAAAATATTTTTGTTATCCCCTGCAACGCATTTTGCATGGTGGTATTAAAATGGACGTCCGTGTGTGCATGGTACCATCCGTCTGTGCGTCCGTCGGTGCACATTTGTCTTTTCCGGAGCAGAACTCTAAAACGGTTCAATGTTTCTTCACCAAACTTGGCACATAGATAGATCTGGTGGTGTACTGGTGCCTTTTGGTAGTTTTGGAATTCTGAATCAAATATGTTTGGCGTTTCCATGTCAACAAGTTTGACTAAAACTGAAATTAGTGGTAGTGCTCTTTTCCAGAGCACAACTCTAAAACCATTCACTATTTCTTCACCAAACTTGGCACATAGATAGATCTGGCAGTGTACTGGTGCCTTTTGGTAGTTTTGGAATTCTGAATAAAATATTTTTTGCATTTCCATGGCAACAAGTTTGACTTAGACTGAAATTGGTGATAGGGTCCTTTCTGGAGCAGAACTTTAAAAACCTTTCAATACTCTCCTTCCACTTTTCTATATACACACCTAAATATTTGACATAATCATAACTCGTAGACATAATCATGAAGAGGATTTTGCCATTGCAGGGGATATTGATGACTTTGTCTTCTTGTTATGAATGTTTTGGTTATGCTTCTGCAGGTTTTTGTACTGTGTGCCAACGTCTAATTGCAAGGGTACATCAGGGTGAAATCTGTTTTAACTCCTGTTGTTGATTAAACGATCATGGCAGTTTTCTGGCTGTGCTGTTAAAATGAAATGTTGTTTTTGTTAAGGTATGAAGATATGGTGGTATAAATAGCTGAGCGATGACATGTGTCAACATGTGTCAACCAAGTCAGCGAGTCTGACCACCCGATCCTCTCATGACAAGCATGGGTTACTGAAGATCAATTCTAACCCGGATCTTCATGGGCTGGCCATGTTCCATGTTGATATTGCTGTGGTCAGGTTATCTTGGTGTGGCAGTGTTCTGACAGTGTTGGTGTGGCAGTGTTCTGACAGTGTTGGTGTGGCAGTGTTCTGACAGTGTTGGTGAGGCCGTGTTCTGACAGTGTTGGTGAGGCCGTGTTCTGACAGTGTTGGTGAGGCCGTGTTCTGACAGTGTTGGTGAGGCCGTGTTCTGACAGTGTTGGTGAGGCCGTGTTCTGACAGTGTTGGTGAGGCAGTGTTCTGACAGTGTTGGTGAGGCAGTGTTCTGACAGTGTTGGTGAGGCAGTGTTCTGACAGTGTTGGTGAGGCAGTGTTCTGACAGTGTTGGTGAGGCAGTGTTCTGACAGTGTTGGTGAGGCAGTGTTCTGACAGTGTTGGTGAGGCCGTGTTCTGACAGTGTTGACAGTGAGGCAGTGTTCTGACAGTGTTGGTGTGGCAGTGTTCTGACAGTGGTGGTGTTCTGACAGTGTTGTGTTCCGTGTTCTGACAGTGTTGGTGAGGTCCGTTCTGGGTGTTGGTGAGGCAGTGTTCTGACAGTGTTGGTGAGGCAGTGTTCTGACAGTGTTTGGTGTTCTGACAGTGTTGGCAGGCGTGTTCTGACAGTGTTCTGTTAGTGTTGGTGTGACCGTGTTCTGACAGTGTTGGTGAGGCAGTTTTCCATGTTTTGATCAAAAGTGAACTCTAAGAATTCAAGGCTTAAATATGGATTCCAGACCAAAGAGTGAGTGAGTTCAGTTTTACGCAGCACTTAGCAATATTCCAACTATATGGTACAGCCTGTAAATAATTGAGTCTGGACCAGACAATCCAGTGATCATCACCATGAGCATTCATCTACTTAATTGGGATCCTTGACACAAGAAATACTGGTGGTCTGTTTTGTGGACTGCTACTGATTTTCACTGATGTTTGTATGTTATTTGTGAAGACAGACGTCTCAACCCATTGATCAGCAATCATACTGAGATTGAAACCACTATCTCACTGACCCACTCAGTGACTCACTCACTCACACCCATACACACCTATCTAAAATGGCCCACCAACTACTAACCAAATTCTCACCAACCAACCAGCAACCACTCACCATCTTGTCACTGACACCAACTATTCACCCGCAACTACTCACCATCTTTTCACTCACCATCTATTCACCCGTGAACTTTTCACCCACCATCTATTCACCCACCAACTACTCACCAACTTTTCACCACCATCTGTTCACCCACCAACTACTCACCAACTTTTTACCCACCATCTATTCACCCACCAACTACTCACCAATTTTTCACCCACCAACTATTCACCAACTTTTTACCCACCATCTATTCACCCACCAACTATTCACCAACCTTTTACCCACCATCTATTCACTCACCATCTATGCACCCACCAACTTCTCACTCACCATCTATTCACCCACCAACTACTCACTCACCAACCAACCACCAACTATGCAGCAACCAACCACCAACTACTCACCAACTACCTACCAACTATCCACCATGTTCTCACCATCTACTCACCAACTACCCCACCAACTACCCCACCAACTTCCCTCTTCATCAGGGGGGGTGTAGTGGTTAGAGCGTCCGCCTGGAGAGCGGAAGGTCGCGGGTTCGATCACGACCGCGTCATACCAAAAGACGCTAAAATATGGTACTTGTTGGTCCCTGCCTGGCGCTCGGCATTAATGGGTACAACAAAGACTGGTCGGCTCGGAGTCAGTATACTGTGTCTGAGTGGGGTATTCATGCTTCACTGCGGCATGGTATCTCAGTGAGCTAGCACTATAAAACCAGCTTAAGTCTGGGCTAGTACAAGCAGCTGCACATACACATACACACGCATATGCACGCTATTCTCATACTGTTAAACCCAATTCAATATTCTCAAGCACTCATCATGTTATCACATGCCCAATTTCACCTCACAAGCTCACCAAAATAATTACCTTTTTATTCCTCAGGACAGACTCATCAGAGTGTCTGATCACATGCCAAGATTCTAGTAGGTTCACAACATCAAGCTCAACAAAATAATTACCTTTCAGGGCTCACTATATTCCTTCAGACATCTAATGGAAATATGTTTGGCAGTATGACCATAGTTTGTCTAGACCATAGTTTGAATCATCTGTTTTCATTCTTTGTATACAAGGTGCTTCAAATTCATGTCTTCTGTCACATCAAAACGCTTCAACACTAGGTGCACAGCAATGGGATAATTGTCTTGTTCTTCAGGGGAGGTGGGGTGGTGGGCTAGCCTAGTGGTTAAGGTGTTCACTTGTCACGCCGAAGACCCAAGACCGGTGACCCAAGACCCAATGTGTTAAGCCCATTTCTGGTGTCCCCCGCCGTGATATTGCTGGAATATTGCTAAAAGCGGCGTAAAACCAAACTCACTCACTCACTCACACTCTTGTTCTTCATCATTTTAAAGTCAGAATCGACCTTCTGATTGGCCAGTTGTTGCGTGTTTAAACCAGGTGGTAGGTCAACAACTACGGATTTCATGACAGCTTTACTTTTGATGACACAAGATTCAAAATATTTATTTCACAAACATTCCATGTGGAAACAGTGACAATATTCTTAACTATGTTAGCGAGATATATAATGAGTCATGGTAACAATACATATACTATATACAAATGTGTATAATCACCTAGGACAATCTAGAGGTCTTCTAGATTTCTTTGAAGTTGTATACATGAAAGCAGATTATTTCTGTGCTGTCCAGTTCATTATTTGTGAAAAGGAGGCTTTGAAAGTAATCAATTTGAGAAGAAAGGGAATTAAATAAGGAGTGTGACACATCTGAATATTACTACAAGACATCAAATAGTGTTCTTCATCCTCAAGGACTGAGCATTGAGACGTTCCTCCAATGGCGTAGGTGTTCTTGTTCTGCTACCCAGTTCAGTTAGTCTGTGAACACTCAGTCTAACCTTAGTGAAGTGGGTTCAGTGTTTTTGATGTGACATCACTTGCTATGCCTTGTCAATGTAGACCTTATGTTCTTGCTGAAGTGTCATACTGAGAGTCTGCTGTGAGTGCTAGACAGACTAATTGTCATAGAATATGTCAGCGATAATAGGCTTTGTGATGTGTAATTGTGTGTTGAAACATTCATTTGTGACATCTGTCAATTAAGGGATGTGAAAGTCTGAGCAAACTGAACATTTGTATACAACCAAGACTGATTTGTATTTAGAAGTTATTCAGGATCTATTAAGGTTTTGGAATAAGATTGTCTGTACAAGAATATTCATAGAAAGGACCATCATATTCTCAAGAGCTAGACCACAATATTTTCTCAAGAGCAACAATATTCTCAAGAGCTAGACCACAATATTTTCTCAAGAGCAACAATACTATATTCTCAATAGAAGATCCCCACTATATTCATGTGAACAAGACCACCATATTCATATGAGCCTGACCACCATGTTCTCCAGACCAAGACCACCATATTCCCACAAGAGCAACAATACTATATTCTCAATAGAAGATCCCCACTATATTCATGTGAACAAGACCACCATATTCATATGAGCCTGACCACCATGTTCTCCAGACCAAGACCACCATATTCCCACAGACCAAGACAACCATATTTCCAGACCAAGACCACCATATTCTCAAGGGCAAGACCTTCATATTCTCCAGACCAAGACCACCATATTCTCAAGGGCAAGACCGTCATATTCTCCAGACCAAGACCACCATATTCTCAAGAGCAAGACCACCATATTTTCCAGACCAAGACCACCATATTCTCAAGGGCAAGACCATCATATTCTCAAGGGCAAGACCATCATATTCTCAAGGGCAAGACCATCATATTCTCAAGGGCAAGACCACCATATTCCACAGACCAAGACCACCATATTCTCAAGGGCAAGACCATCATATTCTCCAGACCAAGACCACCATACTCTCAAGAGCAAGACCGCCATATTTCCACAGACCAAGACCACCATATTCTCAAGGGCAAGACCGTCATATTCTCCAGACCAAGACCACCATACTCTCAAGAGCAAGACCGCCATATTTTCCAGACCAAGACCACCATATTCTCAAGGGCAAGACCATCATATTCTCCAGACCAAGACCACCATATTCTCAAGGGCAAGACCATCATATTCTCACAGACCAAGACCGCCATATTCTCAAGAACAAGACCACAATATTCTCAAGGGCAAGACCATCATATTCTCAAGGGCAAGACCATCATATTCTCCAGACCAAGACCACCATATTCTCAAGGGCAAGACCATCATATTCTCAAGACCAAGACCGCCATATTCTCCAGACCAAGACCACAATATTCTCAACAGCAAGACCACCATATTTCCACAGACCAAGACCATCATATTCTCAAGAGCAAGACCACCATATTCTCAAGGGCAAGACCACCATATTTCCACAGACCAAGACCATCATATTCTCAAGGGCAAGACCATCATATTCTCAAGGGCAAGACCGCCATATTCCACAGACCAAGACCACCATATTCTCCTGGGCAATACCGTCATATTCTCCAGACCAGGACCACCATACTCTCAAGAGCAAGACCGCCATATTTTCCAGACCAAGACCACCATATTCTCAAGAGCAAGACCGCCATATTCTCCAGACCAAGACCACCATATTCTCAAGGGCAAGACCTTCATATTCTCAAGGGCAAGACCTTCATATTCTCCAGACCAAGACCACATACTCTCAAGAGCAAGACCGTCATATTCTCAAGGGCAAGACCGCCATATTCCACAGACCAAGACCACCATATTCTCAAGGGCAATACCATCATATTCTCCAGACCAAGACCACCATACTCTCAAGAGCAAGACCGCCATATTTGCCAGACCAAGACCACCATATTCTCAAGAACAAGACCACCATCTTCTGATAAACATGACCACCATATTCTGAAGAGCATGACCAAATTATCCCAACAGACCAAGACCACCATATTCTCAAGAGTCCTCTCTTCAGATATGAACTTAACATCCTGCAGGCAATGGTGCCTGTCACACAAGAGCCTGGATTTGGGGATTCCATTGAGATATTAAGGCTCATTACCCTAATGGTTGCTTCAGGCCCTTGCCCTCCTGTGAGCAGGAAATGGGGGGAGGTTGTAAACTTTCACTATCTTGGCATTTTTACATTGCTAGGATGATAGCAGCCTCAGTGGTTCGTCATCTACTCTTATTACAAGCACACACTACAATCACAAGTATGAGTTTGACAACGCCAATTGTGGTAGTGGCGCTTCTGATTGATGATGATGATAATGGCGATGGCCACGACAATGACGATGGACTAGTGCTACTATGAAACAGATGACCACATTTGTCGTTTAGTGATAGGGCCTCCATGAATTCATTCCATATGTGATATAGACATACACAGAAAGTTGACAGAGGCTGAAATTATTAATGAACCCCCAGGCATGGACCATGTAACCACAAGTAGGAGTTGAACAATGCCAGTAGTGGTGATGATGATGACAGTCACAAAAGTGGTGCTGGTGCTGGTGCTGCTGGTGCTGCTGCTGCTGCTGATGATGATGATGATGATGATTACACAACAGTGAAGACAAAGGCAAGCACCAGAATTTATTCACACAAAATCTGATTCACCTATTCAACTCAGCTCCCATTCCGCTTCACCCATGCCAACTTTTCCAGTTAACCCGCATCCAACAACAACATGTCACATGACTGATAGCATTCCTTTCTGCCCCAGCTCCATGTATTTATCAACACTCCATGAGGTAATCAAACATAGCTGTTAAAGCCGACCAAATATTCATGAACATGAACAGATTCAGCATCTCCTGCAGAAAGCATTCATTCCCACAGTCCCTGAACCACATTATTTTCCCCACAGCCTAGCCCTCCCAGCAATGCTAAAGCTATAAATGAAGCAAGTCTAGATTTCCTCAGGTTCAGGTTCTGAATCTCCCATCTCACTGGGGCTCCTTTTCAATTTAAATTGGTTTATTTGTTACTATCAAAATTATATTTATTGAGAGACTAAGCGTTAGTCTACCAAAAGCAGTGCAAGATGAGCCGTTACCACACAGGGATTTTCAGCTCACGGCCATTGATTCTCTCCAAGGGAAGACACGTTACTTGAAGAGTCTCATACTCTACTCTAAGTTGTCCCTTTAAGATTAAGCCGTAGCTTGCTAACTGTGAGCTTGTCCCAAGAGATTCATCTGATAGACTGTTGAGATGATTGTTATCTCGCCATTAGTGACCTTTTTTCCAATGGCTGAAATACTGTAAAAATATGTATTTTTTTCTGATGAGGGATTTGTGTTTTTTGGCTCATGTTTTATAAGAAGGGTGGTTTGAAATGTTGGCATCAAATGGATCTGAACATGGATTTTATTCATTTTGAATGTGTGATGGAATATTGTATTGTTTGAGACAGATGTGTTTGTTTTTCATTCTTAATGGGATCTTGTGTGGTCAATTTGCCATCATTCTCATTATCACAGATGAGGATTCCAGTGCCTGAGATGGCTCCAGTATTTTAAGGTCACCAACCAATCAGTCTATTTACGTAGTTATCCATATGATCAGAGAGTCTGTTTTCAGGACACATCAAGGTTGCCTGTAGATTTAACAGCTACATAAAGCTTAGGTTTCAAATGTTAAATTTAATGAGGTGTAAACTGCAGGTAACCTAGCTCTACTTACAAAACACAGCATTAAAATTTGAATTTACATCTGACCAGGTGAGCTACAGATCATCATCGTCATCGTCGTCGTTGTCGTCGATATCATCATCATCATCATTGTCGTCATTGTCAGTATCATCATCACCATCAGTATCTTCATTATCATCATCATCTTTATCATCACCATCATTGTCATCAGTATCTTCATTATCATCATTATCTTTATCATCATCATTGTCATCAGTATCTTCATTATCATCATCATCTTTATCATCATCATTGTCATCAGTATCTTCATTATCATCATTATCTTTATCATCATCATTGTCATCAGTATCTTCATTATCATTATCATCATCATTGTCATCAGTATCTTCATTATCATCATTATCTTTATCATCATCATTGTCATCAGTATCTTCATTATCATCATCTTTATCATCATCATCATTATCATCAGTATCATCATCATTAATATCATCGGCATTATCATCATCAGAGATTGTCATCGTCATCAGTATTATCATTGCCATCATCATAATCATCATCAACAACATTTTCATGATACTAGATTAATCTCTTGCAATTTTGTGATAGACTTTGAATCATCAGGAATAACAGCCACCTTGTTGAAATTCAAAAGCGCCACCACGTCCCCTGCCCTTCACGTTGATTGCGGTTTAATTCTTCCGGGACTTGCCGTTATGGAATGATGTATTGATTCAAGCCAAGCGTACTT